GACTGCTTATAGAAGGAGTCCACTAAATACTTGGTGATTGAATAAAAACATAGTTTGGTTACATGGTGATGGAAATTAGTAGATTCTTGTGTGCTTACTGTGTTCTAGGAATTGTTTTAAATACAATATACCATTCAATTTTCATAAGCACCTCAAAAGATTATTACCCTCCCTCTACCATGAAGAATTCAGAGACAGAAAGAAGTTAAATTACTTGTACAGGGTCACACAGGATGAGGCAGGGGCAGGATGTTTTGTTTATAAACAATGGTTTTCAAACTTTGGTGTGTATCAGCATCACCCAAAGGGCTTCACAAAACACAGACAATGCAGCACCATTCCCAACTTTCTGATTCAGTAGGACTGGATACTGTCCAGTTATTATATCTCTCTTTTTTTTTTTGAGACAGAGCCTCAAGCTATCCCCCAGGGTAGAGTGCTGCAGCATCTCAGCTCACAGCAACCTTCAACTCGTGGGCTCAAGCGACTCTCCTGCCTCAGACTCCCAAGTAGCTGGGACCACAGGCGCCTGCCACACGCCCGACTATTTTTTAGTTGCAGCCATCATTGTTGTTTTGGTGGGCCCGGGCTGGACTCGAACCCACCACCTTAGGTGTATGTGGCTGGTGCCTTAGCCGCTTGAGCCACAGGCACTGAGCCAATTATTATATCTCAAACAGGTTTTCAGATGGTGATTAATGATGCTGGTCAGGGGCTATACCTTCGAGCTGCACACCAGTTTGTATTTTTTCCTCTATGGTACACAGCTTAAAGTGCAGGGGAAAAGATATTCCCAATCTTGAAGCTGTCAACTTAAAGTTGACAAATTCTGTTCTAAATCAAATGGAAATGTGCAAGAAATGAAGTTTAATATCAGAAATTTATGTGGAAACTGAGTTTTAAAGAAAAATAAAATAAAAACAGACCTTGTGAGCAAACATAATAACTCTTTTATGATACTCAATTTAACAGTAAGGAGTAAATTACACAGGTGTTGACTTGGTATAAAATGCTGCTATCTTCTTATCCCGACAACAATTAAAAAACTCAGGGAACCAATCAATTTGGAAAGAGAGTGCCAGAGATTTGGAGAAGCTAGGCTCAGATAAGAGAGAGAATAGACACTGCTCTCTGGACAGTCTTAGCTGGATTCTACCAGCGGATTATGTCACATGTAGGAATTTTAAACTTAAGTAGACATTTAATTCTTCTGTAAAATATCTTTTACTCTTCCAAAATCATGAGATCCAGGGTCTGGACCTGGATGTGGCCACACATTGCTGGGAAACACAATCAGGGCAAAGAGTCAACTGCTTTTTTTTTTTTAGGATCAAATGTTACAATAAACTTTGAAAATTTTTCTTTTTCAATTTTTAATTCTTCCTGGCTACATTTTGTTTATACTTGTCATTTGTCACTGCCTGAACAAACCAAAAAGACTCACTGACTTGTTCCAAACTTTGAGGATCCAGAAACCTATTTTCCTACCTGGATTTTAGTAGGAAAATATTTAGTTTGTCTTTCCTTACACTTACCATGCTTGTTTTGCCAAACTCATTTTTGCCTTATCTATTATTAACTTCTTCTGCTTTGATGTATTATGAAATAACATAATAAAAATGTCAAATGTATAGTTTATCATGGTAAACCATGTATAAATCCATGCTTCTGAGAATAAAAACAGAAGGGGAAAAGCCAGAATCATCATCAATACTAGAAAATTTGAAAGTTGACATCTGCAAATTCATCTAGTATTCTGAGACATAACTCACTTAAACGTGGGCCAAACAGTAAGGATCTGAGGAGGAGTGAGAAAAATCTCATGCCAGACAGAAGAACCATAGAAAAGTTAAAGGAAGAAAAACTACAGAAATTCATATGGGGAATTAATTCCTACTTGCCAAATTTGAAATGAAACATACACAGGACATCTATCAGAAAGCTGGCATGATAGCAGGGAGACTTAATTTGCACTTGTCCAAAACTTCCTTTGGGGCTCTCCAACAGGAACTTAAAAACAAGTTTTGAAACTCTCTCAATAATTCCAGGTAATTTAGCTTTTGCACACTAGATACAAAATAGATGCTATTTAAAGGAATAAAACAAAATTAAATATTAACAATATATGATTAAAGATGCCCAAAATACAACCAAAATTGACCAGGCATTCTAAGAAGCAGAGAAATATGATCCAGAATTAGAAAACATAAATAATAAAAAGATACCCAAATGATAGAGATGATACAAATTACAGACAAAAAGGAAGTGTTAAAAAAATGAGTATGATTAGGAGAGGGCAATACAGTGAAAAGAGATATATGAAATTTCTATAGATAAAAAATTGCATCTGTAATCCAAAATTTAAAAAAATTAGTACTCTGGAAGGGCTTAATAGCAGAATAGACATTTAGGAAGAAGAGATCAGAGAATTTCTTCAAGACATGACAATAAAAACTATTCAGAGCAGCAAGAAAAGGGACTAAAGACCCTGTCCTTGGCAAGGGAAAACACCCCCAGAAAATGGGAAAATAGAGAAATAAGCTGAGCAAGGCAGAATTAAAACAGTTTAGCTCGCTTTAGCCAGCAGTTAAATTAGTTGTCTGAGTAGTTTGTGCTTTCACTAGAAGCCTGGCCTGTAACAGATACAACTTGCAAACACCCCCGTGAGCTCTGTAAGCGCTCTGAAGGACAATGGCTAGGGCAGACACTGTATGCAAGGCTGGGAAGGAACATTCGCCAGACCTACACCTGCCCAGTCAACTGTCAAAGCAAATACCCAGTGTGGGGATTTGTATAATGACCAGGACAGAGATCGAGGGAACAGCTGGCGACCTAAGAGATGGGCAGGAGTACTCGTACCCTAACCACTGAAGGAAATGCCTCCTGGTGGAGATAAGGGGAAAATTCCTCTCTCCACTGATTGTTCTTCTTCTTCATTTATTTTTTAATTAAATCATACTGTATACATTAATGCATTTATCAGATACAATGTGCTGATTTTATATACAATTTGTAGTGCTTACATCAAACTGGTTAACATAGCCTTCACCTCACCTACTTAATTATTGTGTTAAGACATTTATAATCTACACTTAATAGATTTCGTATGTACCTGTGTAATACGCACCATAAGTGTGGTCCCCCCAAGCTCCCCCTCCCCTCTTTTTCTCCTCCTCTTCCCTGCTTGATCTTGGGCTATAGTTGTGCTTTGTCTTTCATCTGAAAGTGTGGGTGATTATACACTGGTTTCATAATAGTACTGAGTACATTGGGTACTTTTTCTTCCATTCTTGAGATACTCTACTAAGAAGAATTTGTTCCAGCTCCATCCATGTAAACATAAAAGAAGTAAAGTCTCCATCTTTTTTAATGCTGCATAATGTTCCCTGGTGTACACATACCATAATTTGTTAATTCATTCATAGTTTAATGGGCCCTTGAGCTGCTTCCATGACTTGGCAATAATGAATTGGGCTGCAATAAACATTCTGGTGCAAATATCTTTGTTGTAAAGTGAGTTTTGGTCTTCTGGATATATACCTAGTAGAGGAATTGCAGGATCTAATGGCAGGTCTACTTTTAGTTCCCTAAGTGTTCTCCAAACTTCTTACCAAAAGGAACGTATTGGTTTGCATTCCCACCTGCTGTGTAGAAGTGCTCCCTTTACCCCACATCCACACCAACATCGGTAGTTTTGGGATTTTGTTATATGGGTTACTTTTACTGGAGTTAGATGATACATCAAAGTGGTATTTGCTTAGAGGAGCTTGACACCATCGCATCTGCTCCACAGAGAACTAGAGGGATCTTAAGCTCCCCCAAGGGATCTGTATGTATGACACAGTAGGAGGCTGCCCCCACACAAAGCTCAGGTTTCATATTTTTCAAAAAAGTTAATGATTATAGACGGAATAAGAACATGCTTATTCACAGAAAATGCTGACATTTTTGGCTAAATGAGAAAATATCCTTCAATAAAAGCTGGGTGGAACAAACACTCAGGGCCACTTGTGGAAGCCCCCAAGCTGGTGGTGGTCCCCTGAGTCCCACCCTTAAAAACTCTATCCTGTCTTTTTTATCTCTCACTGCTTTTAACTTTATTTTTCTTCAGTTGATCACTGCCAGTTCCAAAGGCCTTTAAGGACCCTGCCCCTGGGTGAGACCCCAGCACAGAGTGAAACAGAAAGAAAAAAAAAAGAAAGAAACATAAGTAAAACAATAGACAACTTGTGTCATAATTAAACTGGTCTAATATCATTGACATTGGAGTCATAGTAGGACAGAATAGGCAGTAAACAGGCAAAAAAAATACCTAAAAAAATAATGACCCCAAATTTTCCAAATTTTGTGAAAAATATAAATTGACAGATCTAAGGGGAAAAATCCTAATTAGAACAACCCTAAATAAAATCACTCCAAAGTACACCAAAATTAAATTGCTGAAAACCAGAGAAAATCTTTAAATCATTCAGAGACATACGATAAAGACGAGAAAATGTCATCAGACTTCTCATAAGTAACTATGAAAACCATTAGATAGTGGTTAGACGATTTATAAAATCCTGGGGAAGGGAATTCATGGCAAAGGGATACAAGGTCATTTTTTTAAGGTGGCAAAATGTTCAGTATCTTGATTGTCATTGATTTTAGAAATTATTCACTTATGAACAAAAATGATGAAATGCATTGTATGAAGGTTATCACACAATGGTTCATTAAAAACATGCTAGCAATCTGGAGGAAATAGTGTTAGGTCTCATGAGAGTTTTAAATGAGAGAATTCTTTTTAAAGCAGAAATTATAGAATTTTTTGTGGTTTATATTTAAATACAGCAGTATTATAAAGAGAGGCATGAAATCATACATGCTTATAACATATTTTTTAACAGATGCCAGTGTCCTCAATTTTCCCCAAGTTATTCGTTTTTATAGAGAAATTTTCATCAAATTGTGTTTTCTATAATAAAGGATGCTTATAGGGTACAATAATGCTTCTTTACCTCCAGTTTACTTCTTGAAGAAGTGGGTTTCCAGTTAGAGACAATTCACGGAGAGAACAGCACGCGTTGAGCCACACTTTGGCACTTGTAAGATCTACAGAGATTAAACAAACTCATTTTGAAAGAGATCAAAGATATTGGAAAGGCATCATAAATCAATGACCATTTTATTTATTGGGTAGCTGTTAAACAAAAGGACTACTTTTTTATTTTTCTGTAGATTATTACATACTTTGAAAGGAAGATTACATATAGTTAAGAACATGAATTATGGCCAGAATATATGTTTTTACCATTGAACAACTGTGTGAACTTACGCAAATCTGCTTTCTAATTCAGGTTCATACCTACATCAGAGGGTGAGGTTTAAATGAGATAATGTGCACAAAGGGTTTAGGACAGCTGGTACCAGATTGTAAGCACAAAGTCTGAAGACAGGAAATCTAAAGTCACTGGACAGGGGCTAAAATCAAAGACATACCTACACAGAGAAGATCCTCTTCTCTCCCAAGTATTGGTTACTACACAGAATTACATGAGCCTTCTGAACTTTAAAAAGTAAATATTAAAAATAATTGCTCTTATGGAGATAGAGAACAGAATGATAGTTACCAGATGCCAGGAAGGGTCGTGGGAGGTGGGATAAAGTAGTGCTGGTTAAAGGGTAGAAATATGGTTAAATAGAATGAAAAGCATTTGATAGCACAATAAGGTGACTATAATCAACAGTAAGTTTAGGTACCCTTTGAAAGAGTAGAACTGGAATGTTCCTAACACAAGGAAATGACAAATGGCTGATGTGATGGATACCCTGATTACTCTAATTTGATTAATTAATATTTGTATGTCTGTAGCAAACAATCACACGTACCCTATAAAGAGATATACCTATTATGTTCTCATAGTGATTAAAAATAAAAAATACATACTCTTGTAGAGTACATCACAAAGAAATTCATATTGAGGAACTTTCCCACAGAAAATAACCATAAAACTTGGACTATGAAAGTACCCATAGGTTGTACACTGAGCGAAAGTCCACCCATAGTGTGAACTCGCCATCACTTTAGGATCACAGTGATTTTGTGTCGGGAGGCGTGTTACCAGTCCTGAGCATGACAGTGGAACTGAAGCACAGTGGCAGTTTTGCTGAGCTGAGGAAGCAAAGATTAGAACCGAGGCTGTAATCTGTGGGGAAAGGCACTGCAAAGAAGCCGTGTCCGTCCATGCTGGGTAAGAGGTGGAGGTAAGCCCATACGAGCATTTACCCCAGGTCCTTAGAAAAGTGCCAGGTGTTACAAAGGTCGGACAAGATTCTGCAAATCCTAGCAGAGATCACTGGCTCATCCAAATATGATTCAGAAAATTAATATGTAAAAGGGTGCTTAGGAGAAAATGTTCACAAAACGTATGTCTGAAAAAAGGATTAACATCCAGAATATATTCAAAAATTCTATAAGTCAATAAGATTAATGAAAATAACTTTTGTTTTTTGAGACAGGGTCTCACACTATTGCCCTGGCTAGAGTGCCAGTGGCATCATCATAGCTCACAGCAGCCTAAAATTCTTGGAATTATAAGATCCTCTTCTCTCCCTGTAGTAGGTAGGAGTCACCACACCCATTTGAAAAAATAACTAAATTTTAAAATAGTGAAACCCTTGAAAAGACACAAGAAGATATAAAAATCACTAACAAACACCAGTAAAGAGGTTCTGCACCTTTATTCTCATTGGTGCAATGCAAACTGAAACCCCAGGGTATTAATATTAGATACTAAATACTCTAGAATGTAGCAGTTGGAACTTTCATATATTCCTGGCGTGTGTGTAAGTGTTACAACTACTTTGGAAAATAGTTTGCCATTTTCTTTTAAACTTAAACCTATATCTACTACATAATCCAGCAATTACACTCTGACACATTTACCCATGAGAACTGAAAACCTAAGTCCGTAACAAGATTCATATAAGGATTTCCATAAAAGCTTTATGCTCATAGCACTCCTGAACTGCAACCAGAATATTCCTGGTCCAACAGGGAACTCAATACACAAATTATGATACAGTTGTAGAATGGTTTACACTTCAGCAAAAAAAGAATAAGAAAATAAATAACAACTGATAAAAATGATGTGCTGAGACGTCACGGGGATACTGAACAAAGAAAGCTGAAGGCCAAAAGGAACATACTTCCTGATCTCATTAATACAACAAAAAGCTGACCAATGGTGACAAATTCAGACTGCAGTTGCCTCTACAAGGAGACTTACTGGGAATGGTAATTAAAAAAATTTAAGTAAATTTAACATGTACCCTTGTAAGATGCACCGTAGGTGTATAGAATATAAATGTCTTAACACAGTAACTAAGAAAATGCGGTGAAGGCTATGTTAACCCGTTTGATGAAAATATTTCAAGTTGCATATAAAACCAGCACATTGTACCCCGCGATTGCATTAATGTACACAGCTATGATTTAATAAAAAAAATAAAAAAAAGTAAATAAAAATTTAAGTAGAGGAGGCAATTAATTAATTTGATTCCTGATTCTTTAAAAAATTTTTCCTTGAAACAGGGTATTACTATGTAGCCCAGGTTGGTCTTGATCTCCTGAGTTCAAGTGCTCCTCCTGCCTCAGCCTCCCAGGTAGCTGGGATTACAAAGACATATAAACTTACAATGGGTGACCACCTATTTAGAAATCAACAACTTAGACAAGTGTTTTTATACATTAGTCTATTGATTTCATAGATAATATATATGATTTTTTTTTTAAGGAAAGAGTAACTCAGTGTAGTTTTATTTTATTTTAATTTTTGAGACAGAGTTTCTGTTTCTTTCTTTTTTTTTTGGCCGAGGCTGGGTTTGAACCTGCCACCTTTGGCATATGGGACTGGTGCCCTACCCTTTTGAGCCACAGGCACCGCCCTATGATTTTTTAAATAAATATGTAATTATGACTTTGCCTAGGCCTACCATAAAGATAGAGAGGTAATAGGATTTTAGAAGCAGAAAGAAATTCTAATTGAATTATTTTAGCATGCGTTATTGCACAGATTTACTATTTGTTTATATCCTTAACACGTATATTTAATATAACTATTCACCATGCCTGGAACAGAAACTAAAAGCTTATTATTTAATTTGCCTCATTCTAAACTTACCAGAAAGACAATTGTTGCTGACATCCAGTTTCTCCAGAGAAAGAAAATGGAAAAGTGGCACAATGTTTGTCAAGCTGAAAATAAAAACAGAATTCATAAAATTTGTAAAATGCAGTATCCTTAGTATTATTATGGTAATTACATAACAATGCCTTTTTAACACATTTATATACAATTGCATATTTAATGAAAATTGTATGATACAATTACAACACTTACTAGCAGTGCTTATTAAAAATGGAGTAATTAGAGCATTCTAGGTATACAACGGAATATTTCTAGTCGCTTTCTTCTTCTTTTATTATTTTAGCTACTATCCCATGGAAAGCCTCTACTCATAAATAAACAGGATTTATCATGAAATTATCAATTTCAATCACAAATATCATGGGCTTTGATGTGTATTTTCCATTTACATGAAAATATACCTTTTCTGTTCTTATTATTTTCTTTCATCTTTGTATAAGCCAAAATTTACAGGAAATTTGTATTATCTGGTGTTTTTATATTGTGTATGTACACAAGTATATGTGTGTTTATTCTTGGAGGAAAGATAACCTAAACCTTTAATGTAAAAAACATAAAAATTCACTTATTTTTAATTTTCAGTGGGATAACTGATGAGTTACTAGTTATCCCATTGAAAAAGCAGTAACTAGTTATCCCACTGAAAAAGCAGTAACTAACTAGTTATCTCATTGAAAAAGCAGTAACTAGTTGCTTTTTAGTTGGAAAAATCTTTGTTTACTAGATTAAAAATATTATAAGAAGTATAAATATCAAATATAAGAATTATAAATATCTAAAATTACATGGGCTTATTTTGAATGGAAATATGTTCATGATATTAAAAACTGAATCTAAGAAAAAAAATATTGTTAAATGTTATAATGTTAATTATTATAATATTTTAACATTATAAAATATATGTTTTAAACAATACAATGGACTTAACTTTGACAAAATATACTGATATTTAAAATGAATACTCTATTTATATATGACAAACCCAATAGTAATAACCTTTCCTCTTATTTTTTAAATAAACTTTACTATTTTCTACATTATAATTATCATTAAGTACTCATTCAAGCAAAAACCAAACATAAGTGATATTGAAAATTGACATATTATTAGAAACAAAAGCTAAGAAGGGAAAATTAACTCTAGCTTGATTTATATTTCCCACAATGACACGTTTACACTGAACTTACTCTATAGCATAATAACATATTATTATAGCTATTTGAAAATATAAAATGAGCCAGTTCATCTAAATCTTTAAATAAGACAAATCTTTAAATAAGTATATTCTCATCACTATTTAAAAAGTCTTTTGAATGAATCTCCCCCCATAACTGTTGGAATTCCATAACTGCTTTTCTAAAGGAATGTCTCGGATACAAAAAAAAAAGTGTGCATTAATTTCTACTTCTTTTTCTTTCTTCCTTTTTATACTATCCTTCCACTTGTCCTGGCAGAGTTCTTTGCCTCCATTTCTGTGAATACCCTGTTACGATTTTGAAAAAAAGTAAAGAAAAAGAAAGAAAAGAGGGGCAAAACAACAAACAAACAAACCCAAACCCCTTATTCTTCTAAGTTCACAAGCTCTCAGAGTAATACTATGACTGGAAGCCTCAGAGTCTGGTACAAGCCTCACCCTTGTACTGACCTTGACTCCACTCTTGGGCTACCCTGCTCTGCATTAGCAGAGAGAAAGAAGATACTATTGATTAAAACGTAGTCTAAGTAATAAGGTCAGGAGAAGATCTCTCTAAATGAGGCCACTCCTAAGTACAATGTTACTACTATTCACAATCAAAAACAGTTTCTAAGGGGAGGAAAGATTCAAAGTGATAAGATAATAAGTGAGGAAGTTTGGGGCCATTATATTTATATATACACTTCATTATTGGTAAATACACTCCCATAGTAAAATGTACGAAAATGTCACATAGATACTAAAGAAAAAGAAGGAAGGAAAAGAGAAAAGAAGGGAAGGGGGGAAAAAGGGGGAAGGGGAAGGGAGGAAGGAAGAAAGAAATTTAATTCTTTGTTTATACGTGATTAGTGTATTTAAGTCTTAATTCTATGACATTTCCTACTAAGCAAGCTCTAGATCATTTTTGCAAATAATAATTTTTAAAACCTTGGTAAAAATGTTATTCTAATAAATGCTATTAATGAGAAAAAGTTTAAAATATTTCCAATAATAAATCTTTGTCCTTTACTGAAAGAATTTTGAAAAATTAATAAAGACATATTATATATTTCAGAATATAAGTTTTCTCTTCTTTTCAGAATATATCATGTTTTCAGCTAATAAGTTACAGTAACTTATAGATTATATGAAGTACTCAGTTGAAAATAACCAATACAGCAAAAAAAAAGGAATATAATAATCCTTTTTATAAAAATTAATGTAAACCAAGTCATATCTGTTTTGACCAAGTATTTTTGTAATATTAAAATTTTATCTTTGCAGATAACTCTTTTTAGAATGATACTATATGTCTTTTATGAAATTTTAATCAAGACAACTGGCTAGTCATTCACTTTCATGACTATTCATTAGGATGGTAGTAACCTAATAGTAAAATTCTTCTTTTAAAACTCTACTTTTCCTTTTACTGACATTCTATGTATATTTTTTTCCAAGAAAATTCAAACCAGAAAGACAAAGGACATTAGTGAAAACCTAATACCATTTGACCTTGTCACATTAGCCCTGGGCATTAAAAAGATATAAATTTCAAAGAGGACAAAAAGCAAAAGATTTGTACAATGAGAAGCCAATGGGTAATAGTTTCCACTTTCTGCTCCTACTTAGAATCTCACTGGAAGTAGAAAGGCTTAGAGAGCCAGCGAGGCTTCCAGTTAGAACTCCGCTGAGTCAAACTTAAAACAGTCACATGTCCTAATGAAAATTTAAAACAGAAGTCAGGATGAAACAAGGTTTTCAAACAATATGTACTAAGTATCATTCTTTACATATATTCCTTTTGTTGGGGGAAAAAAGCATACAGGCATAATTTCTTCCTCATGATGAAAATATATATCAAAAAATAAAAGAAAAAATACATAATTTAAAAGCCATACCCATCATAAAACCAAATATTGTATTCACAATATTCTTCTCACTTTGCAAGATGCATTTACATACATTCTCCTCTTGGACTGTCATAAAAATCCCTTAAAATAAGCATTATTGCTCCTTTTACATGTCAGAAAAATCGGAGGCTCAGGGAGCAGGAAGAGAGGTGCTCAACATCAACTGACCTGTAAGTTGTCGACACAAAATCCAAACTCACATCTCTTGACTCTGAGTGTCATAAAACCTAACACAATGTTAAATAATTGAATGCACAAGAAACACAACGTAAGATGGATAATTTTCTAACTAATAATGTTAAGCTTGTGAAAAACCTTCAGGCTAAAGATTATTTTTATAGTGTGCCATTAGGACATCATTTGACTATTCTATGTGTCCACTTCTATCAGTCAGGCCTGGTGCCTTAAAGCCTCTCCCTTCCTCCTCAGAAATGTGAAAGATCAAACACATAGAGCCTTAAAAGACCCATAAAGAATATATTCTAATATAAGTGACAGTGTTATTTTTATACGAAATAGCATATATTATGTAATCCTACATTTTGCGAAGATAAGTGTAAAAGTTTAGGTTCTTTTATGCCCAAGAGCTCTTTGAGGGTAAGGACATGTATCATTCACTTTTGTATTCCCCCTAACAGTAAACGCTACTTCAATATTCAAACGTTATAAGGCTAGGAAAACAAAGTTATAAATGGGGTTCATTTGGCTTAATCATACTAATTATTATTATAGAACTTGTAAAAATATTTTAATGTTATACCTTATATCATTGGTATTGTATCAGAAAATATTTTAATGTTATAGCTTATATAATTGATATTGTATCAGATTGATGTATATACATTATGTCATAATGATAGAGCATAAGTCTTTCAGCTAGTATTAATTTAATCTTTAGTAAGAGAACATTTATTTAATGATTTCAATTGTCCAAAGAAATGTAAGGCACTATTTTTTAAAATGTCCTTGTTTTAAATATTTTCTGATCTCTTAAATATTTTATGCTCATTTATGTGCTTTGAAGTCCTGGGTGGCATACTGCATATGTCCAAAGCATAATCAAGTATTTCATTCTGAAATTATATTTATTACATAGAAAATGTTTGGAGAAGATCCAATAAGTTTGAGAAAAACCCAGATTTACATACACAGTATTAGCTGATGGGGCTTGCTCCATGAACAAATGTTCTTTTAAAACCTAAATCAACTTTCATATTTTAGATTTATTTAAAACAATTTGAGGGACATTTGAATATAGAATCAGTTTTCAGTTGTCAATGTATGGTAGGTAGAAGTAAAGTAATTTACTAACACAATGCTAAAAGGGTGAGAGCTATAGTGGCAGAGACTGGGACATGATTTCATAGTTTGGGGGACAATGAATTATATATTAAAATTAGGGCATCCTTATTTGTATAATTCAAAGAAAGCATTGTATAATTCAAAGAAACATTTTCTTGTTAACAGAAGTTCCTTTCTCCTGTTCCATGTGCCTTTGATGAACAAATTAATCACATTAAAGTGGATAGATCGCAATGAAATAATAATCAGAGGAGAAGTACACATATCATACCCCTGTTTTGGTTTTAGACAGTAAAGATCCAGATGTTTGGTGGTCTCAAATACATCTTCCGAGGTAGGTACCCATTTCAATTTAATGGTAAGGTATTTTTTTAAGTGTTACTTTATATCCTTAGGGAAATCAAATTTAAATCCCTCTTAACATTTACCAAAAAAAAAAGAAAGAAAGAAAGAAAGAAAAAATGCAACTTGAGAGTAGGTTAAAAATCATTCTTCCAGGACTTAATACATACCACTTGACAGAATGAGACAGTCTTATGAATTAAATTAACTACCTCCTATATTTTCCAGAGAGGATAGTCTTTACAAATATAAACAAACCTGCCCTGAGAGATTTCTACAAGTGCTTTTTTGGAAAAAAAAACAAAAAGTGGAAGATAATTGACACTTAAAATTCTACTAAAGTTCTAGGGTATGCCAGTAATTCAATTTAGTGTTCTAAATTCTACAAAGTTATGTCTATAATTTGTGTGCTAATTTATTTTGATGCACTCTCACTGAATTACTGAAGAAATCCAACTTTTTTCTTTGTTTTGGAACATCATGCGTTTATTTTAAGCATTCACGGAATTTATTGTTTCAGTAAAGGATACGTTTACCTGTTTTGAGAGATTGTAAGATTTTGTAGTAAAGGCAGCCAATAGGAAGAAAACGCTTCCACAGTTGAAATGCTGTTATCATCCAAGTACAGTTCTCTTAGCAGAACATGATTCTTCAGGAGTGGAAGCTATATTTAAATTTCATTTATTACTTTATATTAAGTAAAATATTTTAACACTTCTAAATTTAAAAATATTAACTCCCCCCCCCCAAAAAAAAACCTCCCTAAATAACCAACAAATAGATTCTGGTAAACTACATATTATAAATCAAAGTATAATAAAACTGTTAGTATAAATAAAATTTATATCAATTAACCTTATAATTTTTTATATTTTTGATAAAAAGTAATCATGGTGAAATATAATTAGAATTTCATGATAGATAAATTTGGCCACTTTATATACTGAAGTAAGTTATCATTTAATATAATTTAATATCATGAAAAACTAATGTTGAATTAGATTTATTTATAAAACATAAAAGAGTAACTGTGTTGACTCTTTCTTAGTAAAGAAAAGTATGAAAGAATTCTAAGTAAACTAGAACTAAAATACCACTGATTAGCAAAAATGACCAAGGAAATGTTACTCAAAATTGCACTTAAAACATGTGATATTTCTATACAAAGAAAAATGCTGCATTAATCACAGAAGTAAATTAACCCAAAGCAATTACCTCACTTAGATAATTTCCCTGTAACTTCAGTATTTGAAGCAATCCACAATTTTCAATGCCCTCAATTTCTGTAAGATGATTATGTGAACAATCTAGATATATAATAGTAGGGGTATCACAAAGACCTTTTGTACTTATTAACTGATTGTGGTCCACAATTAGTTGCTGAAGATTTTTCAAAGATTCTAAACCACCTGAAAGAAAAATTTTATAAGATCAGAAGGAGCATAAATTCTAGATTCTAAAGGACAGTCCAATTTTATTTCTAAATAATTTAATCTTTGTATATCCCAACCCCTTTAATTATAAATGAGAACTCAGGCCAAATTCCTAGTGATACTTACCTTGTAAACATGACATTGTTGAAATTGGCATATTTTAAAATGACATAATTAGATATCAATTAGAAATGAGACAAAATATTAAAAGTCATAAATTGGGTAATGAATGTTTTTTATCTTCAAATAAGAATAAAAGCAATAGAGAGAGAGGGGAGATTTCTTTTTGTTTTTATTTTTTAAAAAAGTTTTTGACTCACTCCAGAGCTTCTGAATTTCCAAATTCTTCCCATACATAACATCAGAATGCTATTTTCCTATCATTGAAATAATTATCTTAAGAGTCCAAAAAGAACTCAACACCACCATATAAGAACCAATGAAATATTAGCATATTCTTCACGTATTTCAAGAGTGTCGTGAGTGACCTTCTTTGTGAGCAGATGAAATCAATATAATCCTAAGAAATATTAGATAAGGTTTAGAAACTATATGTCAGTGGTCATAAAGAAAAGTACAACTAAGTTTGTGTCAGGAAATAGCATTAGAAAGTTATCAGGAAATAGCATTAGAAAGAAATGCTGAGGAAATCTGTAAAAATTTCATTGAAAATATTAAAAATTTAAGGTTCTTTAGATATTGTCTATGTATGTTCTCTCTTGGTACCACTGTTTTGAAATCCTAGAATGTGGAAATACACTTAAAATCTTGAGTAAGGTAAGCAGAGAATCTACAGTGAGACCCCTACCCTGGGGAGTCATTCTAGCTAAATCTTAGAGAAGGGCTTCAGTCTGATTATCTTGTCAAACTCCCATATAACATTTTTTTTCAATTAAATATAAGAATAAACATGAGGGTTTTTTTTTTTTGCCACAAAGTAGTTTGCTAAATTGAAATAGATAACCTTTAAAAGATGAAATATGATGTATAACATTTGATTTCTGGAATTGATGTAATGACTTTATCCTTTAGGAATTTAGAGTGTTTAACCCGAGATTTGTTGTTTTGATTATATATTGATTTGCAAAAGGAAAAGGCAGAAAGTCTGCTTGTATCAAGATGAAGAAATACAAGAAATAATCAAGTTTACCAAGATCTCATAAGAAAATTTAATTCTGCATTACATTTTAGAAGTTCAGATAATGTAATAGCATCGATGAGTATGTTGTAGAAGTATTTCCTAAAGATCTATTTCAGGAAAAATTACAATTCAAAATTACAGCATCTTTATTTTTATTTTTTTGGTATTGAGTACACATGTTTACTTCTCCATTCCTACGAGGTTTCTCTCCTTTTATTTTATTAAATCATAGTTGTGAAAATTACAGTGTCTCTTTAATAGTTTAAATCAAATCAACTTAACGTTAAGAGATAATAATTTCTGATAAAAATGTTTTTATACAAAATAGTAAATTTTCTTATAATGAGTAATAAATTATACAATATCAAAGAGAAGCAGGAAAATGCACAGCGGACTCAAAAGGACAAAAGAAGACTGAAACCTAAACTCAGGCTACTACTGTATTTTATATTTAAAGATTTAGTTAGGATCAATGTACTGATATTTCCCTGTAATTTAAAATGGTAATTACAACTTAGGAAAAAGTTATGATTTGTTCTTATTAGGACATGAATTATTTTTCCCTATCCAATATTTAAGTTAGAATAACAGATTGCTTATACGTTATAAACTTTGAGGTGTTAGAAGTGGTATGTTATATATTATAATAAATATACTGACTATAATATAAAGTCTTCTGAAATAGGAAAATGATGGCATTTAGTATGCCTATAATCCTATGTAAAGTACATCAGTTAACCCACAAAGCAGACAATCCAGGCAAAAGGAAATGCCTATTATTACACATTAGTAGTATTATAAAATAAGATAGCCTTTATCAAATACACAAATGTCTTATAAAATATATTTTTATAATCTTATTAAATTTTTTAAAACCATATCTATTGCTCTTAAGTTATCCAGAGCTAATGTGGAATAGAAATCTCTACTAACTCCTTTGGACTGGGGAATGCATTTGTGCAACTTTCAAGGGTCTTACAATAAGACAACCGAGGTGAAACCTTACCTTACACAATGATGAATGAGGAAAGATGAAACAAAGGAAGCTGAGAAAAACCAGGTAGAGCAGGAGAACAAATGGGAGAAGAAAATAGGAAAAGGGAAACAGTTCTATAATGAAGGAGGAGTTAAGAAATAATGCGAAACTTAACAATTGTGGAAGCCATTTTGTTTATACTAAATTATATACAGTCAGACTCAGTTGTCAAAGAAATGAGAAGAGGTCACTGCTTTGGCCGTGCTGAGGCAGCTGAAGACTTTTGCTGGAGACAGTAAAGGTAATCAGCTTGGAAAGCACAGTGCAATGGAAGTGAAGACAATGAAAAAGAAAGAGAAATAATCTAAAGATGTGTGAAAATGAGGTTTGCCAATAAGCATTTGGGTGAGCTTGGAAGTAGATGTTTTACTCTCATTGTGCCTTGAGCTGATGGCAGTCCTGGCTGACGGCTCGGAGCCACAACTGCACAAGAGCCCCTAAGCCAGAACCACCCGCCAAGCTGAGCCAATTCTGATTTCTGACTCCCAGAACATGTGAGCTCATAAATATCTGTTAGTCTAAATTGCAAAGTTTAGGAGTAATATTCTTCACATTAGGACATAATGAATGTAATAAGCTTTCTATTCTGAAGAAACCATAAGTCAGGAAAGAATAAAATATGTTGAAACTTCTTTGGCCTATAGAATAACTTTTTTTAAATCAATATAAAAGGAGGGCAAATATATTACAACAAAAGCAGCAGGTAAAAAAAAAAAAAAAATCACCGTAACAGAGTTAATAAATAATCTTAGAAACAACGCTGGACAGAATAGAAAGCTAGAAACTGAATTGTCCCAAGGGATGATAATCACTCTGGAATAAAGTAAGAAGAAGAAAAAAGAAAGAAAGAAGAAAAAGACCTGGATTAAATCAGTTAAACAATGACAGACATGAAAGGAAGACAAACACTACCAAAAAACGGATGGTCTAGGACTGAATAATAAAGTCAAACCAAAAAGCTTTGCAAATATATAAAAAACAAAATTTTCAAGAAATGAAAAAATAACTAAGTGAGTAGTTTGGAAACAAACAAAGATTACTTTCCAAAAAAACACTTCTGTGGCTGTATTGACAATAAGCTGTTTCTTGGTTAAGTTGCTGATTAAGGATAAGAAAAAAAGGGGGAAGAGTTATCTGTGTAGAAATCATTTATGAGGAAAGAAAAATCCAGTTAGCCTCAAAGTTTACGCCAGCAATGCACCATCCCACATCTGCGAAGGAGTAAAGACCACAAAATACCAAGTGAAAGTGTGACCTGAAAACAGAATGCAAATCTACATTCTCGTCCAGGTATAAAGGCACCTGACAGAGATTCTCACACGTGAAAGACTTTAGGGACTACGGTATCCACTGGACCAGTTTTGAAAAATAAGATTTAGAAAGAGCTAGTGGACTAAATAATCTAGACAAGTAAGAAATAAAATAAGCAGTTATCATAAAATACCCATGTTCATACAGATCTAATACCACCATATGATTTAGATGGAGTGGGTACATATTTTATATCTAATGTGAGTAATAAAAATTATGAGAGAAAAGAGTATTGGAAAAAGTACAAATATTCTAATTTATCCCATTTTCTTAAAGGGGAGTTAATGTCTAAAATAGAAAATCCTAATTCTAATAAGTGTTTGGATAACAAAAACAGACATTATAATTGAGAAGTCTGGGAGGAGCAGGTGGAACAAGGTATAAAAGAATAAAATTTTGTCAACTTTAATACAAAGAAGTCAGCAGGTGCATTTGGAAATTTTGAAATCAAACCATTTTCATATAATCGCCTGCTTTATTTAACAATGCTTTGGTGAGTTTTCAAATGATATATCCAACCCTAGTAAATTATCTGTAGAAAAAATGGTTGAGATTGAATGTTTCAAACCAATAATCCGCTTATGGATGACTCTCATGCCCCACAAGATAATTTTGTAATATGTTTTTAAAAATCCAAATTGGTCTTCTACTTCAATAGTGATAAAGTAATGTTTTCTTTTGTGTTTTTCAAAAATTCTAATTGATCTTCTATTTCAATAGTGGCAATGTTTTTGTTTTTTAAAGTTTGAATTGATCTTCTACTTCAGTAGTACTGCAGCATCTCAAAAGTAACTAAAATGTTACATTTTTCTTTAATATTAATATACATTCCTAAAACATCAGCACATGCATAACCTAATAACCACAGGTAACATTATTTTTAATATTCAATTAAAATTTACATAATATTGACTAATACCTTCTCTAATAAAAGTGGACCCTAAGTAGATTTATTTACATGGAAAAGGTAGGCATCTGAGATTGAATTGCTATAATATCTACTTAAAACAATTTCTTTTCCTTAATTTCAGAATATTACAGGGGTACGAATGTTTTCATTATAAGAACTGCATTCGTACAGTTTAAGTCAAAGTTATCACAGTGCATATCTCCCAGACAGTGTGCCTTGTAGCTGGTAGGTGTGAATTTTCCCCTCCCTTTTTGGCCCCCTCACCTGTTTGCTTTCTGTTTAGTTTTACTACCACATGTGCACGTGGGTGTTGACCAATTCCTTCCAATTTGATAGTGAATACATACAGTGTGTGTTTTTCCATTCTTGCCATACTTCACTTTGAAGAATGATCTCCAGTTCACTCCAGGTTCTTATAAAAGTATCAGTTCACCATCTTTTATGACTGAGTAGTACTCTATGGCTATACATAATGCCACAGTTTAATAATCCATTCATGGATTGATGGCACTTGGGTTTTTTCCTATGTTTACAATTGTAAATTGTGTTGCAATAAACATTTGAGGGCCCTTGTCTTT